TCGACCCTTACCCCCCACCCCAAATGCCCGTCGGATAATACGTCGTGCCTTACGAACTGGCTTCTTCATAAAGGTCTCCATCTGCGTTTCTGTTTCTTGTATCCTAGAACTAACCACGGTGCCTGTTGATCTTCTGCAAAATAGGTAGGAATGTCGGGATAGTCTAGGGCCGCCGGTTCGTCATCCGATGACGCGTCGGCGTCGGTTCCAGAATCAAAATCAGACTCGGCGGCTTGCCCCGCTGAGCCTACAAGGGCAGTGGCTTGCGCGGGGGCCGCCGTTGCCGACGGCCCCTGACATCTAGCCCAGGAGTCTTGCGGCCCCGTAGGCGGACCACCACTTGGGGCTAACAACGCGGTGGTCTCTGTAGGCTGTGGATCATCGTTCCAGACGTTTGTAGCAGGTTGCCCAGCATTTGCATCAGCACGAAAGGATTCGGCGCGGTGGCCGTGGCCAGAGATACCATCGACATTGCCAAGGGTTCGATCGGAGATGTGGGCATAGGACCTCATGCGTCCCAGTAAAGCAACAAGTTGTTGTTGATTCCTCTGTATTTGGTGGTTGAGTGGCTGCAGGAGTTGCTGCGCATGCGACGCCCCCACCCCTAAGGCCCCGAACAGAATGACTGTTAGGATTTGGAAGTCGGGGATGATAAAGCCTGCGGTCTCAGCCTCGTAGCGGGCCATCTCGAAGCGCGCTCATGTCTGGTCGATCCGTTCTCCCGCATGGACGCGAAAGTCCATGAGAGCCGTTCCCGAGTTAACTTGGCGTTCCCCCTCTAAGTTCTCAAACTTCGTACAAAAGAAAAACATGATATAGATGACGCCATCAGTGCGGCGGACACCAATGTTGACGCCAAAATTGACGACAGCGGGGGGGGACTCTCATGGCCATGGTCCGCGCGAGGCCTCCCAGACCGCGCTGTTGTGCTGCAGCCTGTTGGGAGGGGGTCACATTGCCTGTGGTCACGTCGATCCAGGCATGTACCTCCTGGACGATTTCGCGGACATGTACCTGACTGGCAGTGTCCCAGTGGGGGCCGGTTGTTCCTGTGTCGTCTCCACCACGCACGTGCCCCACAGCACACCTGATGGCGATCCGCAAAAGGCCAAATATAGTATTACCAATACAGTGGCCCCGCAAGTCGTGGTCGGACATTCCTGGCTGGGGTTTGTGGCGTTTTGTCGTCAGCCTGCGTGGGGGTGGAAACGGCACAGTCATATCGCATGTGGCCATGCATGGTGTCTTCAAAAAAGAAGTCCAATTGGAGAAGGTGGGTGGACCTCAGGAGTGTAGTAGCGAAGGGAAGTGGGACTCATGTAAAAGGCCTCCGCGAGAGCGGAGGTGGCACTGCAAGTGTCTTTGCGGTTGTGCGTAGTTATGTACATTCCTCCGCGCAGACCCACTGCACCCTGATGCTCCACCATGTCAGTAGTCCACCAGATAGTGCCGTGCATGGAGAGAAGTAGAACAAGAGCTGACCACCATAGGCCAGCTCCGCTACCAAGTTCGAAAGGGGGTTGGGAGGCCCAACCAGCAGCTTCGCCTAAGGCGAAGCCCATATCCAATTCTGTTGTACCGTTGTAGCGGTCGTCCCAGAAGTGGACGATCGTCGCGGGATCGACGGGCCATCTCAAGCGAAGATGTTTTCGGTATCGATAGCAAATAGTGTGCCTCGCGATGAGGCACAGTCATATCTCGGCGGCCGGCCGATTGAACACAAACGGCCGCGGACAAACGCTCGCTATCTCTCGCCTTTGCCCCAGCTCCCCTTAGAGTCAGCACGCGGCGAAAGGGATGTGGCTCGGGGAGGTGCGGAAGGGGGACGAAGAGCCAAGCGCGCACAGTCGAGCACACAATCGCGATCCACGGTGACTCTTGTCATCCCGAAAGAGTGGACACTGGGGCCGTCGGCGGAGCACCCTTTGGGGCCAACAAAAGTGCACGTGCATGTGGGGTGTACCCAGACGGAGTTACTCATCATTCGGTGATGGACAAAACCCCCTTAATAATAACGCGGCTTAACGCGGTTTAGTGAAAACGACCTGAGGCCCAAACCTGGCGGGCGCAAGCCTGGGAAATGACGGCCGCGGCGCCTTCTCAAGAACCGAAAACAGACAATTCACGAATCGACGTGTCACCCCCGAGAGAGCGTGATCCACCGTCGCTTGACTGTGGCAAATTCCCCCCCCTCTTCCTTCGGAACCCGGGGGGTCCGGGGTCAGAATACCACACCCCCTGGGGAGGCCTGGGGCCCAAAAACGTCCCCAGACGAGCCAAGAGTGCCCCAAGAGGACCCCAAGACGGTCCAAGAGGACCCGAATCGCCGAACGATCTGTCCAAGACGTCTTTACTGCTTCCAGACAGCCCAAGAGGGCTGAAGACGCCCCAAGAGGCCTCCCAAGAGATTCCAAAGAGGCAACATTATTCGATTTCCCTTACGTCTATCAAGGACTTGGGCGTTCTCGCCTTTTCAGCTTCTCGACGCTCCAAGACGGCCCAAGGGGCTCCAACGATCGCCCCAAGAGGCCTCCCAGAGAGTCCCGAGACGGGCCAAAGAGGACCCGAAGACGGCCCAAGACGCCTGCAAGACGGCCCAAGAGGCACCCAAGAGGGCTCCAAGAGGGTGCCCACACAGGGGAACCAAACGGACATTTCGAGCCCTCCGCCCCGAGAGGCTCCCAGGAGGCTCCAAGAGGCACCCAAGAGGCCCCCAAGAGGTTCCAAGAGGCCCCCGCGAGGCCCCCAGGAAGCCCCAGGAGGCTCCCAAGAGGCCTCCAAGATGCTCCCAAGCAACCCTACAAATTCCCCCCCAGAGACCTCCGAGAGTGCTCCGAAGAGAACAAACCGAATCCCTGAGGACTCTGACCCACGTCAGCGTCGTCGTCGTCGTCGTCGTCGTCGTCGTCGTCGTCGTCGTCGTCGTCGTCGTCGTCGTCGTCATCGTCGTCGTCGTCGTCGTCGTCGTCGTCGTCCCCCTTCAGGGTCGGCGGCACCGGCCGTAAGGCCTTCGCAATAAAAACACCGCAGAAAATCATGACTGGAGCCCTAGACCCCTTCTTTCCGCGGCATCTGTCAAGCCCGATCGAGCTGTGAGGGTCCTGGGGCGCGAAACCTCTGGCGAAAGCGGCCTGTGTTCGAAAAGAAGCGCCGCATGGATCTCAGGGTAGCTTGATTGGAGGCATCCCACAGGGGTCCGAGTAGATGTGTCGGATGACCGCGCCGCATCGGCAACGCGCCGCCGATGCATCGCCGATGCATCGCCGATGTATCGGCGACGTGGGCGAACCACCGCACCATCGGCTTGGAGAACATCGGGCTGCACACCATCGTCGATGCATCGGTTGTGCGGCGCGATGCGGCGCGATCCTCGGAGGCCTAGATCTTCATGGCAAGATTTCGGGCGGCCCTCGGGCACCGCCCACTCCCACCGCGCCCGACGAGGCGCCGAGAGATTGCAGAGTAGCTTCCCAGACATCCGATGCTTTGACTTGTCTCAACACTCCTGTGTTGGGTTCTCGTTTTGCATAGAGCACTGCTCGCACCTCCCTCCTATTCCTCCTCCCCCCTCCTCCTGCGAACTGATGTCACCACTTTCGTGGGCTCCCGGCAGGCCCAACGGAGGGGGGGAGTACGCAAACCCAACCGAGACCTCGCAACTTCCTGGGGAACTGCGAAATACTCAACTGTCGCCACTTTCGTGGCTTCCTGGGAGGCCCAGCGGAGTGAGGTAGTAAGCGCATACAGCCGAGACCTCGCGGCTCCTGCGCACTGCGGGTCCTTTCACATTTTTGTTTGTACTGCGCAGTCCTGGGTATAGTCGCCACTTGTCTATAAATGGTTGGGTACGTCGCCTGGGAATTTCCGACTCTACTTTGCACCCCGAAGTGGTATGTTCTATCAATACGGAATCCTGGGAAATCCCGACCACTCCCCAGGACCACCTTTGCATCCCGAGTCGTTTCTCCCAACCATCCCGGGGTGTTGGGTCCCCGTTTTGAAGAAACAGCGCCCAGCGTCCCTCTCCTCTCCTCTCCTCCTGCTCCCCCTCCTCCCTCCTCCCATCCTTGCCTCTGCCCTCCGCATGTCTCTGTTTCGGTACACCGCTCAAACGTTTCGTGGCCCCTAAAGGAGCTCCGACGAAGGTCCCAGCGGCTGCGTGCGGCTGCGTCCGCATGCGCCCACCACACCGATTTTGGCACACCCCTCACGTGTTTCGTGGCCCTATGGGGAGCTCCACCGTAGGCCCCAGTTGCTGCGTTCGCGTCGGAACAACCCTGACATGCTTCGTGGCCCAATAGGGAGCTCGACCGAAGGCCTCAGTGGCTGCGTTCGCATGCGCCCACCGCATCCATGTCGGCACACCCCTCACACGCTTAAGGGACCCATAGGGGGCTCCACCGAAGTCGATACTCACAACTGCATATGGTTGGGTCCTTCGCAGAGCGGGGGTAATACGCGGACCCAACCGAGACCTCGCGGCTCCTGCGCACTGCGGGTCCTTCCACATGTTTGTTTATATTGATAGGTCCCGGGTATAGCCGCCACTTCTTTAGAAAAGGCTGGGTACGTCGCCTGGGAAGTTCCGACTCATTCCCCAGGACTGGCTTTGCATCCCGACTTGGTGCTGACGGTCAAGGGGCCCGGCGAGAGCCCCAGGCGGCCGCAGACTGAAAACCCCCCTGTGCTGAGTTGTTCAATATCTTGGAGGTCTGGCTTCACGGCGAGACTGTCGGCGTTAGAAAAGTTGGAACGCCCTAATATCATGGTATCGCGTGGGCGAAAAACATATCCATATCCGCGGCCTCACGGGCTGGGCCCCTGGGCCGCGACCCGCGGATACGGGCAATTCCTCGCGGACGCCCCGCTCAGAAAATATCCGTGCAACTGCGTCTCCGCGGGATCGCGCCCCGGAATCCAAACCGCGAGGGCGCGGATACGGATACGTCCACCGCCCGTGAGTAGCCTCGTGGCGAGATTGCGGACGGCCCTTCGAGCACCCCGCCCTTCACGCCGCGGCCAGCGGCGCGGACGCTGTGTTCACGTTGCGGGCCGCTCTGGGCTGGGTGAGCTGAACCAAAATGTCCGCCGACCCCCGCCTGCCGGGGGTGAGATGGCGTCTGAGCGTCTGAGATGATCGGCTGTCCCCCTCACCCTGATCCCCCTCCTGGTAAGTCCAAAGTGACAATCCGAGTGAGCCGCCCCCCTCTCCCGAGGCGTCCTACGCGGCCCGACGCTTACCTTGCGCTCTCGAAGGCGTCCAAGATGCCCAAGATGGCTTCCCAGACAGCCGAGGCAGGCCACCAGGGCCGCCAAGTCGGCCCAAGATGCATCCAAGACAGCCCGAGATCGCGCCTGGACGGACCAACATGGCCCCCAGATGCTCTAGGAGGCCCCCAAGACGGTCCAAGAGAGCGAGGCCAAAACCGCACGGCGCGGAGGGTCGCGCCACTCTCCTAAGCCCCGGGACACGAGGTGCCACGTCACGGTTTCCTGCGCGCTGCTCGAACAGCTGCCACCCAGATTGCAGGGCTAATGACTTGCCGCAGGCAGCTGGATAAAGGACCGCGACGACGGCAAAATACCAGCCCAACACTTGGTGGAACCAGTACGGCAGGTTGCCCTCGAAGCACGCGAGGAACAGGTAGTAAGCGGCGCGGCTGTTATTGTTGGCCATAAACGAAGCGTACTGCAAGACCATTCGGCTCAGAGTCGGGAACATGCTGCTGGCTGGCCCGTCGATGGCAAGGATGATGCACCCAAAGAAGCCCTGGTAGAACTGCAAGACATACTGTAATGGGTGGGTGACCAAGCCTGGGACCCAGAAGATGCCCAGGATGGACCACACTGTCAAAGCCGCTCCGCCGATAAAGCTAAGCAAAGTGATGCTGTATGGGTTCGCCTGCACGTAGAGCGAGATCTCAGAGGCCCCAGCCCTCACCGTGCTGCTGACGACCGAGGCAGCCTGGCGGAGGAAGAGGATAGGAGGAGGAGGAGGAAGAGGAGGAGGAGGAGGAGGAGGAGGCGGGTGGAGGGTTTTAGTGGGAGGCCCACGGACAAAACGAGTGCTGGTAAACATCCAATCACCTCAAAACTATCGTGAAGCATCGGCCTCCTCCCATCGCTGGGAGGGCGGTGCCCGCAGGCCGCAGGCACGCGCACTTGGACAAGCTTCCTTGCAGCACCACCGGCAACGCGACGTGGGCTGGGAGGGAGAGGGCGCGCAGAGAAGGCTTTGGGCCATCAGCGCTGGCAACGCGATATACGCCGGTCGGACTGAGCCTCTTGTCCACAGCGCTGGCGACAGGAGCAAGCAGGTGTGCTTCACTTCCTGGCAGCAACGCTTGCAACGCGTGCAACGCGGTGCGGTCGAAATACAAGCTGGTACACTCGCAGTGGGTTTCCTGGCAACAACGCTAGGTGAATGGCGCGCGCGAAGAGCGAGCGGACGCGCTCGGGGTGAGATTCCTGGCCAAAGCGCTGGCAGCGCGAAGTGCGCTGGCGGGGGCTGGGCGCGCTAGGAATGAGCTGGAACCTCACGGGCAGGCCAGACGGGCGGAGTATTAACTATAAGATTATCGGAGGTTGGGGGTGAGATCGAAGTGAAACGGAGAGCCCCCCACCGGGAAATCGGTTTCGGTTTCGTGTTCGTGCGTGCCGTGCGTGCGGGCGACGCGAAGCTGCGTGGGCGGGCGAGAGGAAAGTCTCATGTGGCTGAGGCGCGGCCGGACCACATGATTTTCCCTCCTGCAAACGGCGGCGCGCGGTGTCCCGCTGGTGTCCCGCCGGTGTCCCGTTTGTGGCTGGGCCCCGGCCGGACCAAATGGTTCTCCCTCCGGAAAGCGGTGGCGCGCGGTGTCCCGCCGGTGTCCCGCCAGTGCCCCGGTGTCCCGCTGGTGCGAGAAGCAAATTGAAACCGATGACGAAATCGATTGCGAGATGGATGGTGGGATTGATGATGAGACCGATAGTGAAATCGATCGTGAGATCGATTGTGAGGTAGATAGTGGAATGAATAATGATATCGATTGTGAGGTCGAGTGGTATCGATGGGGAGGTCGTTAGTGGAATCGATAGCGAGATCCAGGGGTGAGATCGACAGCGAAATCGATCGAGTGCGATCGATAGTGAGATCGACCAGGTGAGATCGATAGAGGGATCGATGGTCCAATCGATCGTGAGACCGATAACGACATCGCTTGTGATATAAATAGAAAGATCGATAGTGATATCGATGGTGAGATCGATCGCGAGACCGATGACGACATCGCTTGTGAGATCGATAGAAGGATCGATAGTGAGGAGATCGATTGAGTGGGATCGATAGTGAGACCGATAGTGGGATCGATCGAGAGAGATCGATAGTGTGATCGATCGAGTGAGATCGATTGTGAAAGCGATACTGGGATCCATTGCGAGATCGATTGAGTGAGACGTTGGGTCCTCCCCCCCTCAACTCTCTAACTCTCTTACCATCCAGGGATTTCGGCTCAAGGTTTCTGTTGCGCTCGGCACGCGGGGGGGCCGCGAACGCACCCACTTCGGTCACGCACCCCCTTCGGCCTCGCTACGAGGGGCCAGGCTTTGCCAATCGAAGTGCTCGACAAGAATGTGGAGACGCTGAAGAACATGAACCCTTGCAAAATGAATTAAATTGATTATTATTTCGTTGGTTCCCGGGGGGAATGATACCAATGCGCCCAAGAGCGAAAGATTACGTAAACAACTCGACACTAAGGCTCCCATGAGCGAGCGGCAACGCAACAAGCACCACTGTTGTCCATTGTTGGCCCCCCTCCCCCCTCCAACCTCCTTATCACCCGCAGGGTGGTCGTATAGGTAGTAGAGGACGGGCGGGCATCAGCGCAAGCAAGCGAACGGGTGGGCCCTGACGGGCGGGTGGGGCGAGCCAGACATTGAAGCGGGCAAGTCGGGCTGGCGGACCCTGACGGGCGAATCGGGCGGGCGGGTCCCTAACCGGCGGGTCGGGCGGGCGCACCCTCACACGAATGTCCAGCGGACGGACGTGACGGGCAGGCCGAGTGGGCGAACCCTGACGGGCGGGCTTGGCGGTTGGACCCTATCGGGCGGGTCGGGTTCGCGGGCCGCTAAAGTGGGCGGAAGACCTGGAAGTCCCAGGCAGGAGCGCGATTCCTGATGTGTGAGAGCGCGATTGCGAAGACGGTGGTTAGGAAATCCCAAACAAGAGCGCAATTCCTGTCTGATTTGTGTAAGGGTATCCTAGGCATGAGCGCGACTCGTGAATACACTGATTGGAAAAAGTGGCGGGAGAAAACGCGTTTCCTGAGACGAGAGCGCGACACTTGAGTAAGCTGCATAGAGAATATGCCGCAGGCGAGATATCCTCAACAACATTCAATAGCTAATGAGGAAGTCTCACGCGGGGGCCGGCGTCAGTGTTGTAGTCCGAGGCCCAGCAACGCGATTTGAGCGCAAAGCCTTTCACCGACTCAAAAATATGCCTGAGCCGAAGGGAGAACTATGGCACTATGGGCACTGCTGGGGATTCGGCAATACTACTTCCAAAGAAATGGGAATGCACCAAAAACGGCCATCGACCATCATACAAAACAGGTTCGCCAGTAGTTGCCCGCACGTTATTCACACTTGAGTCTCCAATATGGCCTTCCGAGTGGCCTCCCAGGCAAAACAAACTTATGGTCTTTGTATGGTATCGCTCATGGTCTCCCGTACGATGTTCCGCCTGATCTCCCGTACCACGTGCAACCTGAGAAAAGCGATCATGAGGCACAGAACGGACGAATAGGGCTCAAGGGGGAGGGGGGGGAAAAGGGAAAATGGCGAAACACGCGAAATGCATGCCAAAACGCACGTTCCGTGAAGATGCGACAATGAGAAAAAATGCTGGAGACCGTGGCACCTCATCCGCGAAGGAAGAAGAAGACGAAGGAGGACCCGAATTAAGCAAAGTTGGCTCAACGATGCTGCACTACACATTCCCGTCCCACATCCCCTCCTCATATAAGAAGCACACTTTTGGAAAACCAAAACCCTGTGTGCCTGCCATGCAGGCGAGAACCCGTCCTGCAGATCAGCCAACTTCACTGCGTCCTTCTAGCGCGTTATCCGACTGCGAAAAGTATGACAATATAGTCCAACGAGATGTCCAAAGACACCCCCGCTTTGAAGAAACATCGCCTCCCATAAGTCGAACTGTCACAGAAGGTTACACTCCTGATACTCTAAGCCAAGGAAATCTCGAACGACGGCCCCATGTTGAAAAGAGCCGCCCTCCACCTCATGTAGCTGCTATGTTTGTTGAGGTGCCAGATCGCCAAGGAAACCTCAAGCGGTGGCCCCCGTTTTTTCCCCACCTAGGCTCTGCCTAGAAGGGTTCTTGCCGTGCAAGCTTAGGGGGCTGGGCAGTGGGGCTCGCCCCGGGCGGTTCCCCCAGTATCCGCCCTTGCGCCCCCTGGGTTCGCCCAGCTTGGCTTAGCTTAGCTTAGCTTAGCTTAGCTTAGCTTAGTTTATATCATCGCATATTAGCTTAGCTTAGCTTAGCTTCGCCTAGCCTATCCCAGCTTAGCTTAGCTTAGCTTATCTTAGCTTGGTTTAGCTTATCTTAGCGTAGCTCAGCTTAGCTTGGCTTAACTTAGCTTATAACAGCTTAGCTTAGCTTAGTGTGTGTTAGTTTAGCTTACCCTAACTTAGCTTAGGGCAGCGCAGCATAGCGCAGCGCAACATTAGCACAACATAGCATAGTATAGCATAGCATAGCATTAGCATAGCTCAGCATAGCATGGCATAGCATAGCATAGCGTGGCATAGCATAGCGCAGCATAGCATAGCATAGCCTAGCATTGTTTAGCATAGCACAGCGCAGCATAGCATAGCATAGCACAGCACAGCACAGCATAGCATAGCATAGCACAGCGCAGCATTGCGTAGCATAGCATAGCATAGCATAGCGCAGCATAACATACCATAGCATAGCCGAGCATAGCCTAGCATAGCCTAGCATAGCATAGCATAGCGCAGCATAGCATAGCATATCATAGCATAACATAGCATAGCATAGCTATGTAGATGTAGATGCAGGTGTAGATGTTAATGTAGCTGTCGGTGAAGATGTAGATGTTGCTTTCCTAAATGCTCCAATTCCTAGGTAGGGTCGCACTGGGATAATTTAAAGAAACCGCGCTCTGTCCTTCCGATGCGTACAGGCTTTGAAGACTGCTTGCGAGACTAAGGCGCAAGCCCAATTTTGAAAACGGCCTGTGCTCCGTCCCCATAGCGGCTAGGGTAGTTTTCAAAACGAATGTGCGCGGCGCTGAAGCGATATACCAACTTTGCCCACAGCCGCGGTGGTTTGCCCAAGACATTCCGTGTTCGTGAAAGAAAACCCACAGTTCCAAAGGAGAGCTCCTCGTCCACCCCGCTTCCTCCTCTTCTTACCCGTCAAACAAAACATTCAAAACGAGGTTTCCGCATGAGAGGTCCCAAAAAACACACCCAAAAGGAAGCTCTCGCCTGAGATGTCCCCAAAAAAAAAACACTCAAAACGAGGCTCCCGCCTGAGGGGTCCCAAAAAAACCCAAAGAAATCCAAGAGCCACCCCTCTCATCCCTGTAACTGTCCCAAAAAACCAAAAAAAAACAAAGTTCCAGAGGAGAACTCCTCGTCATCTTCCAGAGGGCGGGTAAGAAGAGGAGGAAGCGGGGGCGGGGGAGTTCTCCTCTG